TTCGATCCCCGGGTTCGCCGACAACTTTTGCAATCTTTACTCTTTTTTGCGCTCGCTCTTTCGCTTGTTCCCCCTCCAGGACGTGCTGCTTGTCCACACCATGCCACTTCTCCCCGCCGCCGGTTCGTCTCGTTGCTGTCATCCAATGGTCATATGTCTCGTGGAATTTGATTTGTCGAGCCAGGCTAACCTGTGTGGGACCGGCTGAGCCGACACAATTCGCGTCGTTGTCGCTGGTCTGATCGCGCCCGGACCGGTTCGTCACGCGTTCACAGCTCATAAGCGCAGTGGGCCTACGCAATCAAGAGGAAATGGCGTTTCTGCTGCGGGAGTGCGGAATGACGATGGTGCACTCTGGCGTCTCGCTTGGGCCGAAATGACCCTGGACATGCGCGTGAAATGTCTCGTTGGTTAGACAGAAAGGAAGCCGAAGCTTGTGTTGGACAGTGGTGGCTGTCGGATGCGTTGTCGATTGGAAGTCTAAGTTTTGGAGCAGGTGGGTAGGTTTGATTGTTGACGCCTCGATAGCTCAGTTGGGAGAGCGTCAGACTGAAGATCGGAAGGTCCCTGGTTCGATCCCGGGTCGCGGCACTTTTGCAATCTTACTCTCTTTTGCGCTCGCTCTTTCGCTTGTTCCCCCTCCAGGACGTGCTGCTTGTCCACACCATGCCACTTCTCCCCGCCGCCGGTTCGTCTCGTTGCTGTCATCCAATGGTCATATGTCTCGTGGAATTTGATTTGTCGAGCCAGACTAACCTGTGTGGGACCGGCTGAGCCGGACACAATTCGCGTCGTTGTCGCTGGTCTGATCGCGCCCGACCCGGTTCGTCACGCGTTCACAGCTCATCTAAGCGCAGTGGGCCTACGCAATCAAGAGGAAATGGCGTTTCTGTTGCGGGAGTGCGGAATGACGATGGTGCACTCTGGCGTCTCGCTTGGGCCGAAATGACCCTGGACATGCGCGTGAAATGTCTCGTTGGGTAGACAGAAAGGAAGCCGAAGCTTGTGTTGGACAGTGGTGGCTGTCGGATGCGTTGTCGATTGGAAGTCTAAGTTTTGGAGTAGGTGGGTAGGTTTGATTGTTGACGCCTCGATAGCTCAGTTGGGAGAGCGTCCGACTGAAGATCTAGGTCCCTGGTTCGATCCCGGGTCGCGGCACTTTTGCAATCTTACTCTCTTTTGCGCTCGCTCTTTCGCTTGTTTCCCTCCAGGACGTGCTGCTTGTCCACACCATGCCACTTCTCCCCGCCGCCGGTTCGTCTCGTTGCTGTCATCCAACGGTCACTACTACAACGCTGTTGATGCACCTACCGAAGCTGAGTTTGACGCAAAATGCGAAGTTATTCGCGAAGCCAGCTCTGAAATGGCAGATTATCTGGACCTACAATGGTGGGAATACAAGACAAAACTTGTTCGCAGTTGGACAAATCAGTATCTGCATTTTGGCTATCGTGATACCTCTCCTGTTGAGGGAACACATTCTAAATGTAAGAAGTGGTTAGAGTCATCTCGAGGCGACTTGTTGACAGCCTTCAAAAAGCTACTACCGTGGTGGGAAGCTAGCATACAGAACGTGAAGTCTAACCTGGAGAAGGATGTCACGGTAATCTCTAATATTCTGCAAAAGCCTCAATATTCGGGCGTCGTTATGTTTATCGGTCGCACCGCGTTAGACTCCACTGCGGAGTTTTGCAAACAAGGTGAAAAAATTGTGAAGAACAAGGAGGTCGTAAAACCCTGCACTGGAGTTTTTAGACGTACAAATGGCTGCCCATGTTTGCACGATATCATTAAGCTTATCAATTCGGACTTCCAAAAGAAACTTCGTGTCGATCATTTTCACCGGTTCTGGCTGACACGCCGTGGTCACACTGAAGAATGCGGGAGCTAGTCCCCTCGAACCTGCCCCTCTAAAGCCTACGAAGACCGCTAAACGCAGAAAAAAAAACACAAAAAAATCACGGTAAGACTGGAACTGCACGAGATCCAACATACAGTGAGCGAGTCGATCTGAATCACCCCGCAGCTCCTCCATAGGTCCGTCATATTATGATCACTCCGCCAGCACTTCAATTTTCTCCATTACAACCATCTACGATGTCTTTCACAAACCTGCTGAGCCAAATACTGCGTCGATCCCTCCGTGGGATGAATCTAGTACGAATTTAACGTATTCACCCGATTGTCTGCCGTCACGCTCTCGGAAATTACGCAGGGGAGGACTTCCCTTTGATACCCTAGATATTTTAACTCCCCACAAAACACACACCGCGGGCGGGGGGGGTCTCCCCACACACATCAAACAAGTTTGTGAAGACGCTCGTTTGGATTGATGTTCAACCGTTGACACATGGCTACCCAATTGCACGACTACGCACACCTCGATCTCGGTAACCTCGATCTCCATAGAAATTCCCCTGTCCAGATAGAGAGTTTTACCTCCGGAATTGACTGTCATTTAGCGAATAGAGAGGGTTTTAGTCAATTAGAGGGGCTGGTATAATGAACCTGATATAGTCTCGTTTGCTTTGAGATACTACGTTCAAGTAAAAAGATAGTGGTCGGTTATG